CTCCCTCCCTCCCTACATCCTCGGCCACGGGGCGCCCTGTTCGCATGGTAAAAAATGCACAAGAGCACCCCCAGAAAGGAAGTGGCAGGGAACGGCAGGGGGGGGGGGGACTGGACGTCGAGCTGGACTCGACGATGCTTCGCGCTGATAAAAAGGCGATGTGCCCTCGATGGCGGCACCGCACGTGCCTGGGCGGGGTGGGCTATCAAGCACCTATGGGCGATGAATGGGCGATTGGGGGTCGATGCATCCCCTCCCTCCTGAGCCCATCCCCGCCCAATGTTGCCCCCTGAAGAAGCCGTGCAAGACAGAGGGCAGTATGCAGACAAACCGTGCACAAGTTCCTGGCCATCGCTCGGACGTCCATTCCCTGTGTTTTTTTCGGTTTCGTGCTCCTCGATGGTCCTCGCCGAAGGAAAAAAGGCACACGTCCGAGCGATGCCAAGGTTCGCCGACCCCACCGGCGAATGAGAGCCCTGCCGCTCCCCGAGCCCCCTCCCCGGGAGGCCGTCGCCGCTGGTGGGGAGGGGCCCGGCCCCGGGGTGGTGCCTGTGCGGGGGGGGGGGTCCTGGGCGTCCAGAGCCCCTCGTCTGAAGTGGCGCCAAGACGGCGCAAACATGGCTCGAGGCGGTTTTCGAGGTCGTGCGGGATGGACAAGCTGGGTTTAGGATGTTCTCCCCTCCCCTCGAGAACATCGGCAACGGCAAGCGTAGACCAGCGACGGCACGTATGGACGGCGGCGGGAAACACTTGAGAATCGGCGACGGCAAGCGTGGAACATGACCAAAATCGGCATCGACCCGATCCCGCGACATCTTGGTCATTGTGGATTCCCGTCTTCGAGGGGAGGAGGCAAAAGAGCACGCGTCCGAGAGGCCCCAAGACGGCTCACCTCCGACGTCAGGTGCCCCGACGGTGGCGCGTTGTGCACCCGTCGGTCGGAATAGGTAGAACCATGAAGTAGGAAGGCGTTGAAGAAGATTGGGTTTCCGCCCGTCCCCTGAAGAGGAATGCCAAGGACACCACACTCGATGACTGTTGAAGTAGAAAAGCGCCCAAAATAGATTTGGATCTGGATATCCAAAGATATAGACTTTCAACGACCAGCGTGTACAGTGGAGGCCAGTCCACAAGAAACCTTCCACACGAAACCCAACCCTGAGACCCCAAGACGCTCATTGGTTTTTGGTGTGGGAGCGTCACGCCTTACATCGCAAAACCATCGAAACTTAAGAAATCCAGGGCACCCTGGAGAGGCAAACAGGGTGCTCCTCGGCATGGGCCCCCACTGTACTTCGGTAGGGGGCCACACGCGAACCCTACCCCTACCCTCCACGATTTCTGAGGGGTAGGGTGGGGTATGGGTAGGGTTCGGGTAGGGCCAGGTAGGTGGGGGGTAGGGGTAGGGAGGGCTCCGAGCGCTCCGAGCGCTAGGGAGGGGAGTCGGACGCCGACCCGAGAAATCCGCGCGGACCTCCGAGTTTTGATGTTTATGTCATTGTTTGTTTCCCTATGGAACGAGGAGGAAGAGGGTGGCGAAAGAGGCGGACCATGGGGGGGAAGAGCGGGGAGGGGAGGCGGACCCTGACCTTCCAGAGAGCTATTTTTTAGCACTGGAGGCCTAAAAACCTAAAAAACTTAGCGAAACAGCCTAAAACCAAGACGTAGAATAGCTCTGGGATAGGTTTTTAAGTCGCGTGCTATTTTTAAACCCTCCAGGAAGGTCAGGGGAGGAGAGGGTGCGGCCGTGGCGTTGGGGCCCCCTGCCAGTGCCCCCGGTCTGCGAGGGGGGCGGCCGGGCGGCCTGAGGCGAAGGAGACCTTCACCGCGCACTCCAGGCCCTCCGGGATGTTCCCGTCCAAGTTCTTCACGACCCAGTCCGCCTGCCCGGGGCCCACCCTCGTGCACGCGGAGGATCGCACCGGCCAGGCCCCAGCCTCGCCATCGCTCGGACGTCCATTCCCTGTGCTTTTTTCGGTTTCGTGCGTGGTTTTTTCGCCAAATGATCAAGGATGCTCCTCGATGGTCCCCACCGAGGAAAAAATGCACACGTCCGAGCGATGCCAAGCAGCGCGCGATGCCTCCATCATGCTGCCATGAGAAATGCAGAGTGCAGCAGGAGCTCGACCACACGAGGCTTTCCACAAAAAGCCCAACCCTGAGACCCCAGGACGTCCATTGATTTCTGGTACGGAAGCGTCACGCTTTCCATCGCAAAACCATCGAAACCCAAGGCACCCTGGAGGCAAGCGGGGTGTTTCTGGGCATGGTCTTCCGCTGCACTGAGCGACGTGAATTTCCTTAAGCCACGGCAAACCTCGACCACGGAAAGCCTCCACGACCTCAAGCTCACGAGCGGCCCGAACACCAGCGGCCCCTCCAGATCCCGAGGTGGCCCCTGTCCCGGCCTCTTGACCGCAGGCTCGCGAGGCCCAGCGGAGGTCGGAGCGCGAGAGGCTCGCGAGCCCGGCGGGGGGGCAACCGAGGGCCACCGACGCACACCGCCAGCTGCCGCCAATTGGACCTCTCCCGGGGTGCGCTCCGCCAGGACTTCGAGGACGCTCCGGCCGTGGCGACGAGTCGGCTATACGCAAGAGTGACCCTGGGTAAGAGTGACCTTTGGTGCGCGGCTTTTTTGGGGGTCGCGGGGGGACCAAACCTGGGCGCGCAAGCCGCTGCTACCGCTTCGTTTTCAGCCATCTGGGGACCCAGCTGTGCCCGCACCAGAGGTCACTCTGGCGAAAGGTCACTCTTACGTCTGGTCGAACGAGGGCCCCCCCCCCCGAGCGAGCGGCGGCACCGGCGCTTCGCGGCCTCCTCCGGCCGAGGAGGCCCGCGAGGCCCCGCGGAGGTCGAAGGGCGCGGTCGAGGCGCGCGCGCGCGCCGCTGCCGAGCGGGCGCCGAGGCCCGCCGCCGCCTGGGGGGGGGGCGCCTCTGCGGGGACAGCCCGGGGGCGTGGAACATGACCAAGATCGGCGTCGACCCGATCCCGCGACATCTTGGTCATTGTGTATTCCCGTCTTTGAGGGGAGGAGGCAAAAGAGCACGCGTCCGAGAGGCCCCAAGACGGCTCACCCTCGACGTCAGATCTCGGGTGCCCCGACGGTGGCGCGTTGTGCAAGCACCCGTCGGTCGGAACAAATAGGTAGAACCATGAAGTAGGAAGGCGTTGAAGTAGATGGGGTTTCCGCCCGTCCCCTGAAGAGGAATGCCAAGGACACCACACTCGATGACTGTTGAAGTAGAGAAGCGCCCAACATAGACTTGGATCTGGATATCCAAAGATATAGAGACTTTCAACGACCAGCGTGTACAGTGGAGGCCAGTCCACAAGAAACCTTCCACCAGAAACCCAACCCTGAGACCCCAAGACGCTCATTGGTTTTTGGTGTGGGAGCGTCAAGCCTTCCATGGCAGAACCATCGAAACCAAAGACACCCAGGGCACCCTGGAGAGGCAAGCGCAGGGTGTCTCCTGGCGTGGGCCCCATGGCCGGCCGGCCAGGTCCTGCGCGACCAGCCCGCGGCCAGCAGGTCCAGGAAAAAGCCAAGGGAGCGAGGATCAAACAAGGAGGTCGTAGTCAAGGGGCCCAAGGACACACAAATAAATACACACACAAATAAAACATATTCCCCATATTTCCCCAAATTTTTCCTGGGTTTCTCTCTTCCCCCCCATTTCTCATATTTTCCCAGATGTTCCTGGGGATCGTCGATTAATTGTGTCTGTGTGTTTTTTCCTCTCCTGACTTAGGCGGGATGGCGTAGCGACCCTGCGCGTTGGCTCACGCGGGACGCCAGCGCGGCACGCTGCATCGGAGACGAGTGCGCTCACGCGCCACCGTGCGCGAGCAACTTGCGCACGACTGCGAGCGCAGGCGATCCTGCTTTTTTTGAAGGGGCCCACAAACGCACAAATAAATGCACACACAAATAAAAAGATGGCCCATATTTTCCCATATTTTCTGGGTTTTTGTCTTCCCCCCCATTTCCCATATTTTCCCATATCTTCCTGGGGATCGACGATCAATTTGTGTCTGTCTGTTTCTTCCCCTCCTGCTTTTTGGCGTCGCTCACGTCGCCAGAGTCACCACGGACGGCTCGTGACTGCTGTCGGCCTCCGGGGGGCACTCGGCGGGCCCGGGGGCCGGCAGAAGGCGCTCCGGGATGAAGAGCTGGCCCCAGGGAAGTGATCCAGATCTCTGCTTTCTCATGAGCTCGATGCAGGGATGACGAAGATTTCCAGCTCTCCCACTGAAGGAAAGGAGGACTCCACCAGACGAGGCAACAGCCATGGAAAAGAAGAGGGAGGTTAAAAGGCGGAGGAGGAAGAGCAGCAGACTCCCAGAGGCAAAAACTCGCGACTGGACCACCCGCGCGCGCGCGCCCTGAAGCGCACGTCCGCTGTATGCGGGAAGCCCCTCGGAACCACACCGAGTTCGAGGCGGGGATTTTATACATGACCACCGCCTGGAGGACCGATTTTCGCGGACCTCCGTAGGCGGTGGGTATGGATATAGTTTGGCCCCTGGGGGCCACAAGGTATCCACGTCCACCACCCGCTGGGTCCCCAGGACGCCGGTTCCCAGGCGGTGGCTATGGATAGATCCCCGCCTCGCACCGAGGCCCTGGCCGAAATGGCTCAATTCATGGCCGAGGCCTCCGTGGGCTGCGGCACTGCCCTCGGCCCTTCGGGCCCGTCCAGGACGGCCCCACGGGGCGCCTGGGGCCACGCGGGGCCCGGGCGTAAGTCGGGCCTGTCCCCCTACAGGGGGACTTTGACGGAAAAATCAAAAAATCAAGCAATGCTCCCAAATGGTCAAAAAATAGTGGAGCAAAAGGTCCCCGGCCTATTTTGGGACTCTTTCTGAATATTCCTCCTGTGGAGGGACAGGTCCGACTTAGGCCCAGGCCTCCCCCGTGGCCCCGCGCGCCTCGAGGCGGAGGTGCTCCGCAGCGCTCGGCCTCTGGGGCCCTCGCCGGCCCCTCGGAGACCAGTCGACGGGAACGGCTCGGAACGAAGCGCTATGGCCCCCAGCCTGACCTTCCAGGAGGGCTAAAACATAGCACCCGACCAAAAAACCGATCCCAAAGCTATTCTACGTCTTGGTTTTAGGGCGTTCCGCTCCGTGTTTTTAGGTTTTTAGGCCTCTAGTCCTAGAAAAATCACTCTCTGGAAAGTCAGGACAGCCCGACCCACAAGTCCAGGGAGCGCGTCTGGCTTCTCGCCCCTGGTGACCTGGACAACCCTGGGCGACGACTCCCCTCCCGCTCCTCCGCCCGCCGCCCTGGCGTCCTTCCTTATCTGAGATTCGTGCGGACACACGAATACCGTGTGCGCCTGTGGGAGACGCCCGTCTGACCGCAGCACATCACCTTGTACAGTCAAAAACCCTGATCAGGACGCGCGGTAAGGACGCAAGACCCTTGGAAGCCGAAGTTGGGATTGTTGGGGCGGCGGACGACGAAAACCTCAAGGACGCACGAGCAAGGAAGAGCAAGGACGCAAGGGTACCCTGAGCAAAGTCGCGCGTCCATATTAAGGTTTTGGACTGTAGCACCACATGCTTCCCCCAACGGCATGGCCGGAGAAGCGCCCGCCACGGGGCTCATGCTGCAAGACTTCCCTGCGTGCGCACCGCCCTTGCGCGGCCGACACCCCTACCAGTGCATCTGGGTGGCGCCGACTACCAGACGCGAAGGCGTTCTCGCGCCCACCTTCCGAGCGGGCCGGCAACGAACCATCCTCTGCCCCCTTCGTCCCGCATCGGCGCGCGCACGGATCGAATCCGGATGCTCCCGCTTAGGCGCCGCTGAACGGGTGGGCGAAAAATGGGGGAGAGAAAGGTGCACTTTTCGGGCCCTTAAGGTTCCCTTTTGGGCCCCAAAATGCCCCTGTCTCTAGCCCTCGCTGCCCCCCCAATCTATCGCACCGCCCCCATTACGCGAAGCCCAACCCGCGTGCAGCGCCAGTCCTAAGGCGGGGCTACCACCCCGACACGAGTCGTTTCCTAGATTGAATTGGGGAAACCAAACGGTACCGATACCGCTACTCCCCAGACCTTTCCCGGGATGCGTTCTGATCAAAGTTCAAGGCGAATCCAGCGGTGGCGACGAGGGCCCCCCAGGAGGCCCCCAAGGAAAAAGCGAGGCAAGAGCAGCGATCTTGGTACCTTCTTCTCCTTCGAGGGGTGGCTGTGCGACGGTCTGTACGCCCAAAGCTCCAACTCAGTACGACTCTGTGACGGCGCCCCCCCATGGCGCCCTTGAGGTCGCCACGCTGCAAGGCCTTGAGCTCTTGAGATTTGGGACGGCGCCCACTGGTCAGTAGCAGACATCTGCACCAAATCCAAGCATCCCACATATTATCCGTGATCCCTCGGGTCTACCACCCAGGCACGGTGGCGAGATGGGCCCAATGCCGCTGGTTGGACGCGGCACGCTGTTCTGTCTCTGCTCCAGCCTCGAGGTGCCCTTCAAGCCGACCTGGACCAGTCGTCGGCCTGCCTTCGTGCGCTCCTCGCTAATCCTGATCCCCCCTCTGGCGGAATCGCCTCTCAACCACCTTCTATTCGGTCGTTGGCAGGACTGGGTTTCGTGGGACCTGGTTTAGTGACGTGTGCCGGGGAGCGCCCACCCCGCCCCATTCCACTGACCGGAACTGCCGTCACCCGAGAAACACCAGCTACGGCAGACCTGGCTTGGTGATTCCAATCCATGTTTTGGACCTCGGGGCCCCAGCTATCCCCGATCTGTGACTCCCATGGGCATCTCCCGAGCAGATCCTGGGGCGCGCGAGGTCAACAGGGACCCTGACTCCCGAAGCCACGCGGCCTGGCAAATCGCGTGGAGAGCCCTGGCGCCGGGGCCCTTCGCGGCACCGTTCAATATGCCCAGGGTGTCTCTGTGTTGAGCAGGGGCCGACCGTCCCGGCATTCCTATAGTCCTACCACGGGATGTTCTTAGAACCCAACAATGTTCTAATAACAAAGAGAATGTTCTTAGAACATAAGCCCGATATGATAAAACAAGACCCGACTCTGCCAGAAATGTTCTAAGAACATTTCGTGGAAACCACAAAAGGTTCTTAGAACATTGTTTGGTAGGGCTATAGGCGAGCCAGGACGCTTCGCCACTGCTTGACTGTGGGGCTGGAAAGGTGGTGCTGAGCTCCGGCACAGCGCTCCGATCGTTGCTGCTCATGCGTCTGCGATGCTGTAACGTCCTCCCCGCTACACGGCGACAGTGACCGCTCTAGGCGACGGACGAGATGCAGCAAGCCGGCTGGCGGACGAGGATACGTGGAAGCCTTGGGGGAGGACGGCGTGGAGGAACAAGAACTGGCGGCGGAGGACGAAGACACACATGAGGCTTCCGATGAACCCTCCCATTGCGAGCCTCCGATATGTCTCCAAAATGCACATAGGCGGTGCTGGCCCCGACCATCTTGCAGTCTTTGATGCTGCCGTATTCGCCTGTCCACCATCGGATGGCACACCACGCGCTCTTTACAGTCTTAGTGCTGCCCGAGGGGTATTCAAATGCCACCAGCCCTCTGGGCGTAGGTGATTTGGCGAGTTCGTTGTTCCAACCCCCCTCTTGTCCTTCGGGGAGCGGTTTACCCATTCCCCTACACCCTACCTCTTTTCAGACGCAACCGCTCCACAAGCAACATCCACACCCAAGAAGAGTTGCGGAAGTGCGCCAGCCAGTCAGTGGCGCCAGGAGTGAGAGCGGGAGGAGACGGACAGAGAGGAAGAAAGAGGAGAAGGATGAGAAAGGAGGTCGGACAAACGCGTTGTGTGGGCATCCCCGATGGCTCTGCCAGCCATTTTATATGGAATAGCCGAACACACAACCGACGCACCAACTACGAAACGAATCAAACAACACGATCGCTCCGTACTCGGTACGTGGGGGACAAGGGAGGAAGAGAGGAGGGAGGGGAGAGGGGCGGGAGAGCGCGGCTTGCGCGTGAGCAAGCCGACTCAGCGTCCAAGATGACCACCAAAGATGCCCTTCAATATGGCACACTTAAGCCCAAAATGGCTCAGGACAGCCTCTCACATGCTTCCGAGAGGCTCCAAGACCGCCCAATGGATGGCTCCATGTGGCCACGGAGCCTCCCATGGATGCACCCGGAGAGGTCGACCTCCTTCCAGCACCTGGGGAAGATCCGTTTGTATGTGCCTTCGGATGGGCTTCTGACGCCTCAGGATGGCAGAGCAATTGCCCAAGAGAGCTCCAAGAGGAGCCCCGCTTTTTTCCAGTACACTCTCAAGGCCAATGCATGCAAACCCTGCCCGAGAAACTACCTGCGGGAGCGACTGTGTTGTCGCCGGTCTAGGGGCCTGTGAGCACCCAGGGCCAAAACGGCTAATACGGAGAGGCGCGCAACATATGATACAAGAATTACCCAAGAGAGCTCCAAGAGGAGCCCAAGAAGGCACGCCAATAGCTAAAACACAACGCCCCAACGTCGCCCCAGGAAGGCCCCAACAACCGCTGCTTCCGGCCACGACGGGGGGACCGCGATCCGCGCCGCCCTCTGTTTCAAGCGATGGCTTCCAAGACGGCTCATACGGCCTCCAAAACGGATCCAAGAGGCACCCACGATGGCCCAAGCAAACTGCCAAGGGACTCCCAGATCGAAAGATCCGCGAGGGCATTATGGTCGACTCCTGGGACTGCTCAAGCCGATCCCGATTTTGGGTTTGACGGCTGGCCTCCCGTTCTTTGCTCCACTGTTCGCTGATACACTTCTCAGATCTGGGCACCTCGCCTGGGCATCGTTTCTGGATGGGCTGGTGGGAATACGCGAAGTGTCAATCACTAGGAGCGGATCCCCCCTCCACTCTCTACCCAGTGAGGCTGACATGTGCTACTTGGGCTCCATGGGGACACCTTGAGGACACCAAGGCCCTTCCGTGCTGACTGTACCTGCCCACGGGCACTGGAGGAAACACCCGCCTGGGTCCCGGACAGCGCGAAATCGTATCGGGTGGACGTAACAGCGGGGACCTGGCGAGTTCGCTCCGCGAGACCGACCCTCCTCTCGCAGACCTGCACCTGTAGTTGCGTGTGCCTGTCGGTTATCCGCCATGCTCCTGTTGTTGCATCTGTTGGAGGAGGCTTCGGCCTCGAATTGTGAGCTCCCCTCAGAGGCGAGCGCACAGTCGGACCATGGCCCTAGGCCAGAAAAAAGACAACAGTCGTGTGAAGCAGGGCAGGAGGGGGATATGGGGGAAGGGGGAGGGGACGAATGATGGGAGGGAGAGAGGGAGGAAACAGCCAACAGAAACGAGGGACACCTGGTCACCCTCCCCAACCGATCTCGATCTTATGCCTCGGTCCGACCGTGCCAGAATCACGCAAACGCTCGTGACACTCTGGGCCGAACAGCGGGGACCAAGGGGGAACAGCGTGCCCCGAGGCGCCCGTCTCACGCCCCCCATTGCGCCCCTGCGCGGCGCTGCTGGAGCCTAAGAGAGCGAGAGCATGCCGGTGGAGCAGGGACCGACCGTCCCGGCATTTTTAGAGGCCTACCACGACATGTTCTTGGAACCAGAAAATGTTACACAATGAAAACAAGGTTCTAACATCAACCCGATGTATCAAGCAAGACAATCCCGACAGGAAATGTTCGAAACAAACATTTCGTGCAAACCACCACAAAAAGGTTCATATAATATCTTCTGGTGGGCCGATCGGCAGGCCAAGACGTTTCGTCACTGCTCGAGCTGGCGATACCCGTGCATCAGCTGCCCCCCTTTCCGCCCCGCCGATCGGAATCGCCCCCGCGCCCCCTCCTTTTCCTCCCCATCCTCCTCCTCCTCCTCCTCCTCCTCCTCCTCCTCCTCCTCCTCTCCTCCTCCTCCTCCTCCTCCCCCTCCCCCTCCTCCTCCTCCTCCTCCTCCTCCTCCTCCTCCTCCTCCTTTTGGGGAAGCCCAGACGTACCCACAGGACGTCATCACATTGAGGCGTCGCAGCGGCCGCTGCCGCGGCCACGGCGTGCGCCAGCGTCCACGCGCCCCATCGGCGCCCCGAGGTAAGCCCAAGGCCCCCCCTCGCAAGGCAGGGCTGGACCTAAACGTTGTGTGTTTGTTTTGTTGTTCGTCTTGCTCTACCTGTTTTCCTGTACTCCAGATTTCGTAATAAAAGGGAGGGGGTCTGGACCCTCCAAGACAAGCCATTTCAGACCCCCCCCCGTGGGAGAACCCTCCAAACCATCGTCCTGTACCTGTTATCCTGTACCTGTTTTCCTGTACCTCCCTCCCAACACGAAAAACATAACACAGCCGAAGTCCAGCAACACAGCAAAGCAGCGTTTGGGTCCAGCCCTGCTCTCCAGGGCATGCCTGTTCTGGGGCACCTCTGCCTTCCCCGTGGCCCTCGCCATCTTCCCCTCTCCTGACGGAGGGGGGAAGCGGGAATCATGGCCAAGACTGAGTGCAAACACGAGGCGTCGAGCTTGGTCACCGTCCATCTTGGTCGGCGCTGACTCGTGGGCAGGTCTCGTGAATCGGGACGGCCAGCACGGGCCATGACCGTGACCAAGGTCGGCATCGACCAGACCCCGCGACATCCCTGGCCATGGCGAGTGCATGCGCCTTCCCTCAACCTGACATGGTGCCCCCCCGTCGCTCCCCCGCCTCCTCCCCCCTCCCTGGCCATCGCTCGGACGTCCACTCCCTGTGCTTTTTTCGGTTCCGTGCGTGTTTTTTTCCCCCAAGTGATCGGGGATGCTCCTCGATGGTCCTCGCCGAAGGAAAAATGCACACGTCCGAGCGATGCCGAGCCGTCGCTCTCCCGCCTCATCCCGCCTCCGAGGTCGACCGCGACGACGGTGCGGCCGCCCCGTGCGGCCCAGAGGATCGACGCGGCGGCGTGCAAGGGGCGGGCGGGGCGTCGTGCGGGCGAGCGGAGGGCGGAGGAGAGGGCGGCGCAGAGCACAGCGGCATAGCGCATACATGTGTACACATGGAGAGAGGGATAGGGAGAGGGAGAGGGAGAGAGAGAGAGAGAGCTGAGAGAGGGATAATCTGAGGAGATCGCATCGAGGAGAGAGAGAGAGAGAAAGCAACAGAACAAGGACGGAGGAGCTCATCGTACTATGAGAAGGGGGGGGTGCACCGCTCATGTCGCTTTGGGTTCGCTCGCCATCGATTTGTCCGTCGAGCCGGGAGTCTCAAGCCTGGAGGAGCCACACCAACCATGCTGCTTGGGAAGGGGCCTGGTGCAACGGATGTGGAGGAGGCGGTGGAGGCGACGAGGGAGGAAGGATGGGGCAACGAGTGGAGCGAGGCAAGGAGGAAGGCCCCCCCTTCCCACTTATTACTCTCTTGAACATCTCCATGTCGGTACCCTCCGGCAGGCCCTTGATGTACACGGCCGCCCTATTGTCCTTGCCAGCCGCGGAGGCAGGCCCAGGTCCCCCAACAGAACCCCAGCACGGGGAGCGGGCCCCACCTCCTGCGGCTCCCACCCCCCTCCCTCCTTCCCTCCGTCCCCCCCTCCCTCCATCCCCCCTCCCTCCTCTCCCCCGCGCAACCCAGCGCGCCAGCATCCCGCCCCTCGCACGGCCCTCGCGCCCTGGCATCAGCACCGCTCCCGCGCCGGCGCCCGCGTCTTCCTCTCCGCCCCCCGAATCCTCACCTCCTCCCTCAGAAGGGGATGCGCGCTCTCAACAGCAGGGACGAGCGGAAATATCCGCCGAACACGCTGAGGCTCGGGTACTACTTATGTGTTGGGAGGGCGGGCGGGAGTGAGCGAGACAGCTTGCGTGCGGGGAAAGTGTCTTGATCACTGTTCCCTATTATAAACACCCCCTCCCCAGGCGACCAGCAGCAAACCAGGACCAACGCGAACCCCCCCACACCACCCCTGCCAAAAAACAATGTGAGATCTATCTTGGGGCAAAATCTTGGGTCATTATCGAGGGGCCGCGAGCACTTTGTATATATTTTTGACAAGGACGGCGGGGAGGGGGCGCATGTTGCCTGCTGCGCTCAGGGCCAGCATCCGTTAAAGAACAATGCGCAATGCACTTCGAGGATCACGTGGCGCATCTGGCGCACACATGGCGAACGTCGATCACGTGGCGCATCTGGCGCACTGGGCGCGGCCGGCACGCTTGGCGCACCTCGCCGTCTGTTTTGGTTCCCCGTAGCTGCCCATCCATAGACGACCCCTGAATATTTGGGAGGGCGGATGGGAGTGAGCGAGACGGCTTGCGAGCGGGCAGGGTGTCTTGACCCCTCCCCCTGCCTCCTCCCCCTGGCCTGGGGGGCTTCGCGAGTCGTTGGGGCGTCAAAGATGGCCTCGGCGAAATGGCTAACATCATTGGCTAACATCATTGATTTTACAAAGGCCTGGGCACATGTTAGCCTCCTGGGAGCGGGCCGCTAATCAAGTACCCCCTATTCTCTGATCGAACTCCTCCAAGGTGGCCCCAAAGTGGCTCCCACGGCACCCAAGCATGCCCCAAGGGAGCCCCAAGAGGCGCCCAGGAGACCCCAAGAGGCCCCCAAGAGTTCCCCGAGACTCCCAAGAGGCCCCCGAGAGGCCCCAAGAGGCTCCCCCGAAGCACCCAAGACGCTCCAAGAGGTCCCTGGGACCGCTGAGAGGCTCCCGAGACGCCCCAGAAGAATTCCAAGAAGCTATCAAGAGACATCCGAAGAGACCCCGAGAGGTATCCAAGAGGCATCTGGCCTCTCTGCTCTTCCTCCTCCTCCTCGTCCTCCTCCTTCTCCTCCTTCTCGTCCTTCTTCTCCTCCTCCTCCGCCTCCTCTTCCTCATCCGCCTATTTTTCCATTGCGCGAACTCGAGCCGATGTGGTGTAGCGTTCAGGCATCCGCCGATTCGTCCTCCTCATCATCTTCCTCCTCCTCCTCCTTCTCCTCCTCCTCCTCCTCACCCTCCTCTCCTCCTTCCACCTCCTTCCCCTCCTCCTCCGATTACTCCTCCACCCTCCCCCTCTTGGGCCATGACGGCTTCCCCAGCCCTTTATTCAACTGCTTGCTTCTCCACCTCCATGATCAGGGCAACTCGCCTGGGCACCGCTTCTGGATGGGCTGGGGGGTTAAACAAAGCGCCCAGAATGCTTATCCAATTATGTAGATTCTCGCCTTTTCACGCTTTGCTTTTTACGCTCCCTGCTCTCTGCATTCTGCACTATGCCCTGCGCATGTGGTTCTGCGATATACAGAGCACGATGTGCGAACCAGTACGTCTGTACATGTTTTTAGCTGTACAGGCACATATGCACAAACATGTGTATGTATACATGTAGATACACTCTCTCTCTGTCTCTCTGTCTCTCCGTTCTCTCTCTACTCGCTCCACTCTCTCCCTCTCTCTCTGTATCTCCGTTCTCTCTACTCGCTTTACTCCCTCAGATGTCCGCGCTTACGCCTTCGCTCTTCCTCCGCGATCCCCACCCTCTCTGCCCCGAGAGCCCGCCCGCACGCTGGAGTTTCGGGGGGAAGGTCTGCACCGCGGCCCAGAGCCGGGAATCCGACATAGTCCAAACACCTGGGAGCATGCGAGCCTGGCCGCCCATAACCTCGAAGGGTCTTTAGAACACCCCCCCCAACAGTGGACTTCTTGACTGACTGGGGCACCACCCCAAGGGGAAACACATATCTTATCCGCGGCACCCGCCGCACAACAACAATGATGGCAACGACGGGTACGACTCCGACTTCTTCTACGACCACGATACGACTACGGCTACGGCTACGGTTACGACTACGAGTCGTAGATTGTGAGCAACGTCTTCGGCGAATCATGCGACTATCTGTATTGCAATCCTCTTACAAACGTGTTCAACATGTCTCTGTCGTGCAGGGCAGCCCGGATATCATTATTTTCGCTGGGGGATAGCAGCCCCACATTAGCCAGCGCGGCAAACATTGGTAGGAAAATGATATCCGCCGCGACGACGACGACTTTGACTACAACCGCGATTACAATCACGATGACAGTCACAATTGCAACCGCGACCGCAATCACGACTACAACCACAAACATTGATTCCTATTGGCATCCTCATGAGACGATGCTCACAAATCATCTCGCGTTAGGGTAGGTAGCCCACAATGGACTATTCCCTTGGAAACAAGCACCCGATTATCCAGACTGCCCAACAACAGAGAGAGAAAGAGAGAAACAACAAAACATCTCCGCCGCGGCGACGACGACGAGGAGGGGGAGAGGAAGAGGAGGAAGAGGAGGAGGAGCAGGAGGAGGAGTGGCGGAATTTATTCCTCGCCGAGGGAAATAAGGG